ACTTTTGGTTATAACATATATGAGTGCGAGTGCAGCGAGTGGGACGAGTGTCCTACAAGCATGTGACAAATGGTACTCACCCGAGTGTGCTCAAGAAACCGCAAACGCTGCCCTCCGCATAGAGTGAAACAATGTCGCCCAAGTGGAGGAAGCTCGCCGAGCCAATTATATTGTCGCCCATGTCGGAGGATGTGGGCCGCAGCCGCAGCAGATTCTCGGGTTGTGTGGCAATTGGCGATGGGTGGTATCCGCCTGCTCCCGACTCTCCCGGCTCTCCCGACTCAGCTTTGATTGCCTTTGTTTTGTTTGTAGCCGGTTATGCGAGTTAATTGCAAAGATTTGTCGCTCTCCTCGTTGTCGCTGTGTGTGCTGTGCGCTGTGTCCTGTGTATAAAAACAAATATATATTTATATACTAATATGAGCATTATTGTTGTAAGCAATCACATGGGCGCCTTTTACTCTAATTACATGACATAACCCAGTTATAATTAGCTATCGAATTACTTTTATCAGCAGGTTTACTGCCATTGACCCACAGAGCTGTCGGTGTGTATCTAAACAGTTTTCGGGCGTTACGCCATTTGGGGCGTGTCGCCAGATAATTTATTCATAAATCATATGCCCACCACTTTCTCATTTCTCCAACATGGACACACATGTCGCTTCACAGCGGGCATATTGGCTGTGGGAAGCTTTGTGTTCCGTTTGGTTTTGTTTATAAAAAATAAAATCTATCAGTCGAATGAGCCAGGAACTGAACTGAACTAAAATTTTTTCTTTCAATTTTTTCATATAAATAATTCTAGTTATATTCCTTTACTAATTGAAAGGGTAAAAGCTTGAGCTGGCAGCGCATAGCTGGCTTTATTAGAAAAAGGTGCAGGGTATCTTCGAGTCGGGCACTCCCAACTGCTTCTACCTGTTACATATATGAACAAAAAAACATTATTTCGCTTTTTTCTTTCCGTTTCATATGTACACAGACTAAAATGAAAACAATATTATCTATGTGTATCCATACAATGAAAAGGTAAGCAGAAATTAAATAGAAATAATTTTTTGTTGGACTCTTCAGTCCTTTGGACAACATGTCGTATACCTAATGTTTCTTGTGCTCTCCACTGTTGAAGCTTTTTTTGTGAGTGGTTTAATTTATGAAAAAAATAAAATAAAAATATGATTAGCTAATATATTTAAAATTCTGTTATAAAAGAATTTCCAAAATAATGTTCATATATTTGTATTCTATTACAAGGTATTAACTATCTTTTTTCTCGAAATTTATTTTTCACTTAATTTCCAAGAATTTTTCCTGACGTTTTCCGACATAGCTGCGAATTTTTCAAATAAGATTTTCGTTTTTTATTATTTTGACTTTTCTGTCCATTGACTTTTCAGCCCGTTGGACAACGGTTCGTATGCTTAATATTTAATATGCTCTGCTTTTGTTATGGGAAATGTTTTAGTCCAGAACTTGATGTTTTGGCTATGTAAGTTTGTCGTTTGCTTTAACGATTCATTTACACAGTACGCTTCTTTTTTTTTATGATTTGTGTCTATTGTCCATAGATAATGGCTAGATACGAACTAAAAGCTGAGGGAGACAAAGTGCCATAAAAAAATTGCCATAAAATTGTATGCACATCGGGGGAGAGAGAAACAAATGTGATGGGTTTTATTGTTTTACAGTTTTAATGGCAGCATGCCACATTGATTTTTACAAAGTCACAAATTGTTGTCCCTTGTTAAATGTACCAGAATCTTAGCAAACTTTTGGGACATGTGCTTGATGTTTGTAGAAGAATAATACGTAAGGTAAATGAGATATAAACAAGTTGAAAGTATCTCAAAGTAACTCGCTACTTACATGATACAACCAGCAAGATAAACAAATAATCAATAAAATACATGAAATTTCCTGATTCCATTCGCTGAGTTATTAACTATTAAACATGTGATTATTTTTGTTCGGCTCGGTCAACGGCATTCTGCGATTTTTATTACAGCCGCAGACCATAATCTTGAGCAATGCTTGGAATATTCGATAGATGCCTGTGTGTGTTCCCCTGTTGTATGCTGTGTGTGTGTGTGTGTGTGTGTGTGTGTTTATCAACAAGCCACAGCACTGGAATAATAATTAGTTGCAAGAAATTGGACAGAAACGAAGATGAGTATTAGTGAATGTATATACATATATATTGGCTTGTCAGACATAATGACAGGTAATTAGTACAGGAACAAGAACCATTGTCAATTTCCTGGCCGTCTTCGGCATTCCGATTGGGATTTGGGCATGCTAATTAGAATAAATCTCTAGCCGGCAGCTTTTCCCACGTGCGCACATTTATGTTGGTGGCAGCCATGTCAAACAGGAAATTAAAATTTCATAACTCTGTGCAGGCAGTTAGGCACTTGATGTGGGTAAGAAATATCAGGGAATACCGAGAGGAGAGCAGGCGGGGGCCACCTTTGTAGCTGCGATGCTGCAGCGTGTGGCATGTGGCAGGATATGAAACATGCCCGACTTGTTGGCCAACAGGAAAGTGTGGCAAGCAATTGTGTTCCTACGACAAAGGCGAGTTTTCCTAATCAGCTGGCTCAGCTGGGGCGCATCATGCATTCCTTATGGTCAGGGGTATTCGCACAGTTTTTAGTGGATTTTCACAGACATGAAACGTGCTTAAATTTGTTAACACACAATAATAAATTACAGACGTTTGCGTTTATCATCTATTGCTCAAAGCTGCGAGGCGATTGAAGTGGAATTTATTTAGCATAGCATTAAAATAATTAACAAACAATTCAATCAAATTACGCGCTCAATCACAACAATCAAACAGCTTCCCACGCATATGGATAGGCAGAGTTGTGGTATGTCTACATACATACATCTATTATGTGAGTGTATGTGTGTGTGTGTGTGTGTGTGTAACGATGTATACACATGCCTGTGAGGCGGCGGCAGTTTAGATATTTGCCTATTTCTCTTCTTTTTTTTTTTTTTTTGCTGCTGACGGATGCTGGCAGAGCCTCCGCATACCAACACACGGACACACACACGGACACGGACAGCTCACTTTTCTGTTTGCCAGGTGTACATTTTCATGCTCGAGGGAAAACCACTTACAAATATCTTCACAAATTGTTGTTTCTCGAATATAAACAAGGCGCAACAAATTTATATATATGTTTCTTTTTCACTATAGATTTTTAGTTGGAGTCGTCAATAAATAATTGATGATTTTATTGGGACTTTAAATTTTTTTTTTTTTCGGATGCTACACGGCGCGACCGCAAAAAAACAAATGCTTAAAAGAACGTCAACGTCCGACAGACGACGGCGACAGACGACGGCGACAGACGACGGCGACCCACAAGAGGCCAGCGCTCAATTGAAAATGCTGGAAAAGCTTATGCGTAGAGTCGCTGCCAAAAAGCTCAGGCGAGCGGCGAAAGCTTCACAATGTAAGGCAGTGTGCCGTGCTGTGTCGTGGGTGGAGCTTTTTGGGTGTGTTTTTTTTTTGTTCGCAGCAGCTGCTGTTGTTCTTGTTGTTGTTGTTGGCTCAAACATATTGCACACACAACTTTTGCTTTCATTCATGTTTGCTTGTTGCCGCTGTCGCTGCCGCTGCCCTCCTCCGTCTTTGCTTGCACGCTTTACGCATCAGCGCGGCGAATTAGCTTTCTCAGTTGTGCATAGTTTGGCCTCTCGCTTTATGCATTCGCATGAGCGCCGCTGATGGGGCGTGTGCAAATTTGATTTGGCTTCAACAAAGACGACGATGAAGATGACTTAGCATGTCTAATGCATATGCAATTGCATTTTCCGGGTCAAGGTCATGATTAACTTAAGACTCGCTGTGGTTGTGTGTGTGTGTTGTTTGTTGACGCTTCAGAGCCTGTTGCTGTTTTCGAGTGGCTTTTGCACATTAGCTGAATGCAAAGATTGACAAATGACTTGAAAATGGATTGGGCTCAAGGAGTACTTGAAGGTCTGGAATTGTCCACTTAAGCTTTCGCATTAGCAAGCAGTTTTGTCACAGAAATACAGATATGGGTTAAAAACTCTTCTGACTGATTTTTAGGCCGCATATTTTAAATACATCTTCGCAGTTTCTTAACTATGACTATAAGTATTTTGACAATAAAAGAATGAGTTAGGAAAGTTAAGCCTTTTTTATAGACGATAAACGGCTCGACATTGAGTGACCGCGCTTAACAAGAGTCGCATGACTTTCAGACAAATTTCGAAGCGGCATTCTTATCGGACTGTCAATGCACTAATCTAATCAGACAAATTATAGCAAATGCAAATTAAAAACCAATCAATTTTAAACTAGATTAAAAACCCTCAACTAGCTTGAACACACACATGCTTTCTGCTATATGCGTCCTGCTTGCACACACACATGCGTTATGCGTGCTGCATGCGTGCGGCAAAAGCAACGTCACAAAGCACAAAACAAACGCCACAAGTGGTCGGCGCAATGTGCTGGCGTTGACAGCGACATCAGCAGCGATGTCGACTGCGACTGCGACGCGGACGAACGCACGTGCGAACGGTAAAAACAGCTGTGCGCCGAACGAAAATAACAAAGCGTAAGTCGGTAAAAACAATAGACGAATGTTTGTTTACATGCACTGGGCGCAGGCGTAGCGCAGCTTTCGTTAAGCTTGAAAAGCTGCACGAAAAAAGCTGCTTGGCAACGCGAAAGCTCCGCAGCACAGGCAAAAGTTTTCGCAGTCAAAGGGGATAATCAGTAGTAAAGCGTCGCGCCAGGCGCAAAGTTGTGACCAGCAGTCCAACAGCGGCAGCGACTGAGCCAAAGGCAGAGCCATCGAGTGTACATTGCGTAGCGACACGGTGCGTATGGGAATCGTGGTAAGCACAGGCCGCGAGTGAACTCTGGCAGCCTCCGCCGCCGCCGCCGTCGCCGTCGCCGCTAGCCATTGGTTATGCATGTGAAATAAAATGATAGAAATGAGAAAAGCTTGTGCTTTTATAAACTTGTAATAAAACACGACAGCAACACGAAAACTGAAACAAAAGAAATTAAAATCTATTTTGTTCAAGACAAAAATTTACAGTGAAAGTTGAGGCAGCACAGCCCCAAAAACTCTGGACCAAGAAGGATAAAAGTTCTATGTGCCTGTGCCTGTGCCTGTGCGTGTGCGTCTGTGCGTCTGTGTATGTGTGAGTGAGCGTGTGTGTGTGCGCGACAGCAAAAGGAATAGAGAAAGCAAAGCATCCCGTAGGAGTGGCACACATACAAAAGTGTTTGCATAACTTAAGGCGCCCGCTACCCTGCGCGCATATACACATACATATATACGTATTGGTGTGTGTGTATATAGAGCCAATATAATGTGATTAAAGGCAAGTCCGAATCTCTGTACAAAAGGAATTGATACCAAATATAGGACAAATGCTGCCTGGTGGTTATTGTGAACCAAAAATAAATACACAATAGCATCGGAAATTTTCAGTGATATGATTTAAAGGCGTGGCTGCTGTCTGGGACAACTCTCAATCGCAATGGATCCGCCCAGGACGGCCTATAGCCTTGTCTTCTGTGCTGTCATGAGTACACTGATTATTATACTTGGTTACGTTATTTACATCATATACACTTTTTGCTACGGGTACGCTGAAGCAGAATTTCGCAGTCGATTTTTCGCGCTCTGTATGCATTCATCCAAACTCCATTCCCAGATATAATTTATTAAGTTATTTCCTTTTCCCTATAGGGGCTAATAACACTGTAGAAGATGATAGCTTTGCGTCAGTATGGTTCCGATATAGCTACGATTAATGCAATTTCGCTGTTGATTGTGCAAAGAAGAAAAACTGAAATATTTGTGCTGGAATTCAAGAATAATATCCTTTCAAAAAAAAATTGCATCCATATGCTCGTATTCCAACGTATGTGTACACATACTTGTAACATATGCTAGCATAAATCCTTAAAACACAACAACAACTTTTATAAAACTGTAAAACTATGATCTCCAAATTAATTGTATCGATAAAGAGAAAAGATGGTTAAGAACAATAAATTACGTGTTTATGACAAGCAAATGGAACCTTCTAGATTATATTCCGAGCTCCTACTTTGATTTATATATTCTTGTTCAGGCGAGGCGTGGCACTTTGTATTGGTTGTCATTGATTATCATCATTGAAAGAAAATGAATTAATGGAATATACAATAATATTGTGAAGTTTTATATGCTTTTATTATATCTTTGCCTTGAGCAGCAAACAGGAGTCCGTATTTCTGTTGGATATTCCCACAATGAGCTGTATCCAATCCTTTGATATAACCCTAAATAATTATTAGACTACATGAAAAAATAGCCTTGAACATTCGTATTTCTACTTCGTTTCAATTCGAAGCCCATAAAAACCTTAACAACAATCAACGAGCGAAAAAATGGATTTCCACACAAATAACTAGAGTCAACAATGTTAAACAGGCGAGTGGCAAGGACGTGTCGTCCGGATGCCAATAAACAGCTTAAAGGTTCGATCAATTCAATGGAGCGCAACGGGAACACAACATATGTTAAGCAATTCGTGTGTGCAAAATGGGATAGAAAATTGCCCCAAAAATAAAGTGAGTGAGTGCAATATTTTCGAACAAGAAATACCCTCGATAAACACGCTGAAAACAAATTCCGGAACGGTTCCGAGCACGGTAAATCAATACGAAAAAAAAGCACTTTTAATCAAACCCCGAACTGGATTAGATGAATGTAGATCCGTGCAACGGAATCATATATTTTTGAAAAACTGTTTTGGTTCCTAGCAATTCATATTTGGATACCTAAAAATTGAAGTGAATTATGTTAATATAAACAATTTAGTTGCTCTGATTAAAAGTGAAAATGCAGGTTCACATATGTGCAAAAAATTAGCTTAATGAACCGAGCCTTAAAGTGAGACCCTGGTTCGAATCGTGAGCCGAATCAATTATGCAATCATCATAAAAAGCTCTTTAAACACGTTGTGTATTATAAGATACACACACACACAAACACACACACATACTCAGTACAAACACAACGCTTTAGCAAATGGTCCTCGCTTTGCTGCTTGCCGTTGTCCTTTGCTTCTTTATTGGCTTTGGCAGCTTTAGAACTAAAACCGGCGAACAATGAAAGGGTTAAAGGTTAAAGCAACAGGAGCAGAGCGGCGACTTTCAAAGTTTTAGGCATTGATTGAAGCTTTTGTCTGAGCGACACTTTGGGGAATTGCCTTGTTTCGATTCCGCACCATTGCCCTCTCCCTGGTTAACCCGCCAGTTCAAACCCAGTTGCCATAAAACAATTGTCGTTTATTTAGGGAAAATTCAATTATATATGAGTGAACCAAAATTTGTGCAGCACATCCTGTTTGTGCTCAACATGAGCTCCAGGATATCCTGCCAATTTGATTGCATCCGCGCCCAGACCAGAGACCGAGAGACCGAGCCACATGCATTCAGTTCAAATTATTCGACATATATAAACCTTTTTATCGTGGCACCTGTTTGGGAATATTTGTAGCTCTCAATTGCGATTGATTCTCTGGCGAATTTCGAAAAAAAATTAATATATATACATATAAATGCAGGCCCACAATAGTCAAAAATTATTACAATATTGTTTCAGTTAAATATATTTCCCAAATTCGAGAAATGTGTTTCTTTAGTATATAAATTAAGAGCACATTTGAATGATATTTGAGACTAAAGTTGGCCGTGTTTTCTTTTTTGTGACAGGCACGAGTTCGACTCAACACGACTTACAAATAATAGAATTGAGATAATTTGACTTCAGTAAATAAGAAATAAGAAATAAATAAGAAACCAATTTAGCTTAAAGATATTTTTCCAAATTTAATTGCATTTTCGGATGATTCTTCTCATATAAACTATATAATATAGTACTTCCAAGCTATTGAGATTTTGTTCAATTAATATTGATTTTGTTAAGTTAAGTTTGGTCAAGACATTTTAATCAACAACACGAAGGAAACTCAATTTTCGCAATGTCTTGAATATATGAATCAAGAATATATGTACCCTTTTAAAGGGTATAGTTATAGGGTGTATAATCCTTTAACAGAAATCCTTTCTGGAAATGAAAAATCGAGGATGGCAAACGATATGTGATTATTTATATAGAAGCAACGAGTTCTATAAGTTTGACAGAAGATATTTAGATTAAAAGAATACTTTCATGAACTGCGGTTTATTTTCCTCATTAAAGTCTTTAAGCCTTGCACAAGGTGCTTTAACTAAAGTTATTTTTTTCGAATTTAATTTTTAATCAAATTTTAAAGAAGTTTAAACTTGTGAGTTTCTACGAAACATTCGAAATAGTTTTGCTTTTGCTGAAATTCTGATCAAGCCGAGCAACTATTGTAAGCTCTTTTTTATTAAAACATATCTCTTTTGCTAACTCCTCGGATGAAAGCATACTGTTCGCTTTCAAATACACAGCCGTACATAAAAGTTCATTTGAGCGCATTTACATGTCAGCTCGAATTACACAAAAGCCGCCGCCGACTGTTGCTGCCAGTTGCAATCGGGTTCAAAAAATGCAACCCGCAAACAAAACAAACAACAAGAACAACAAGAACAAGCACAAAAATACCAATTAAGCAAAATGTAAGCAATGGCACGTATTCACACAAAACCATATCCCATAACAAACGTACCGCATAAACAAAGAGTATTCGGCGCCAAAGAGCATTCGCGCTGAGAGTCTGAAATGGCAAAGTATCGAGTCTCTGGGGATATACTTAGTGAGGCGTGAGTCAGTGTGGTTGATGGGGAGAGTGTTGAGTAGGAGCCGCAATTCAAATAGTTAGTCAACTATGTATAACATATTTATAATTGAATGCACAAAAGGTTACGGGGAAATGCAACTCAATCGACAGACAGAGCGAATCTACTCGAACAATACTACAATTTATTTAGATCCGCTCGGATCGGATGGGTATAATATTTTAGAGGCCGTTTGTTGTTATATGAAAACGTTTTTGTATACCCCAAGACATCTTGACCAAACTAAACAAATACATGTACTAATAATTATTATTATTTTATGATAATTAAAACTCTTTTTATAAGCCCTTTCTGAGGCTAATATAATCTGTAATTGAGCGTGGTCGTAAATAAACGTGTCTCTCAATTTTAAATCTTTATTGAAATGCATTGAATAGATCCAAATAAGTTTTAAGTCGAACGGATGAAACTTGAAACATTGACATCTATTTTCACTCCGAAATAAGAGTTCTATTAAGTTTTGGGGTTCGCCTACATATAAAGTCAAAGCTTAATCAAATACTGAATATATCAGTGAAGGGCTTTCAGAAGTATATTTTTCCAATATATTGAAAATTAGTTATAATTATAATGCTGTCTATATAACATTTGGTATCTGCATTTATAAAAGCGTTTTTCTGTTCATGTAGGTAAAGAATAATGTTTAAGTTAATTTCACTTTATGCTGTATCGCATTTCAAATCGAAACTTAAACTCTTGTGGGAAGGTGATTCACAGCTCTAAATAAACTAACGACAATACATTTACATAATCGTAATAAAAAATGTGCCCATAAACTACTAAATATGAGCACTTCCATAGATATTTGCAACGTGACCAAAATATAAAAACCATTTAATCAAAAGTTTTTAATTTAACTGACTTCTGTTGTCAATAAAACAAGAGAATGGCATCTTTAGCACGTCGAAGATTAAATACCCTTGCAGACATATGGTTTAATAGGGCTTTTATACGAAAGCTTTATTTTTAACCGATTGTTTCATTTACTTAAGTAGTTTTGATTTAAAACGAATTTGCAGATAAGGTAGGGGAATAGTGTAGCTAAGTTTGGTCAGAACATCATAAAAATTAACTTTCTTGTTTAATATCCGAGCGGCCTCAAACTCATTTCAAGTTTCACCCGCAACAGTGGTAAATTGGCGGAAAACGGTTGTATGAAAGTTTTTTGTTTGTCAGTTTCAAACTCATTTTCAACGATCTTTGAGAGAATTTATGTTATAGGTGCCACGGGCAAGACCGGGGCTTACCCGCTAGTATATCTATATAATATATAAAGATCCGATACGGCCCATTCCGAAAAGGAAAAGTTTTATTATGAACAGACTTAGCTGTTGAAAGATATCAAGAATATATATAGGATCGCAGACGTCTTCTTCTATGCGTTACAAATCTAGTAACACAACTATAATACCCTGCACAAGGGTATAAAAAGGGTGACAAATTCTTTGAGCAAGTGGTTAAAATAAAAATTAGATTTTTTTCCTCTTTTCGATTTTTCGCTTTTGTTTTATTTTGAAGTGAATTGCTCGAATTTAATTGTTTCTGGTTACATTAGCCTGATAATTGCCTTGCAAATCGTTTTGCGGATATCAATATTGATAATGACTGATTTCAATCAATACCCACAATTTCAACTGAATAAACATGCACACACACATACATTCACTTTCATTATTCCTTATTGATGCTTGATATAACGAAGGGCCCTCAATTGAAGCCAGCTTCAGGTCAATAAGTACAGCAGGTGTATCTTTTATTTATCAGATAAATTGTCGTTTAACTATTTATGTTAATGGAGCATTTTTAAATGAGGCAAGCGGCAAGCGGCATGCGGCATGCGGCGCAGCAAAGGCATTTTTACTGTCGCTCAATTGATCTGCAATTTATGCACATACATAAGCACATAGAGGCACGCACACGTATAGACAAGAAGCACAACTACATGCACATCGCATGCACATGTGTGTGTGTGTGTGTGTGTAGATTCCATGCATAACTGTAAGTGCTCTCAATGGCTCAGTCATTGATTTTCGCTAAAAGTTTAATTGAGTCGTCATCGGCAGTTTGTTGCGGCTCAAATACACACACAGGCATACACGTGTGTCAGAGCTGTGCATGCATTAATAAATAGATTTCATGTGTGTGTGTGTGTGGGTGCCGTTAAAAATTTCGAGCTGCGCGTGAAATTTTTTACAGCTCGCAAAAAAATAAAACTGAATGCAACGCGTGCTGTGGCTGCTGCATG